TTGTAAAACTCGCCGAACATTTTTTTTCTTTGTCAAGTGAAACGACGACATGACGAGTCAGTTGACGGGTGAGACAATTTTTGGTTTCCGATTTTTTCTCTTGACAAATCTTGCACCTCGCCAATAATTTTTTTCTTCTTTAACTGGATTTAGTAGGATTGTTTCTCGTTTCCTGTGTGACGGTTAGCTAGAAAAATGAGTGAGTATGGATCGGATGATGGGACCAATAAATGGAAGTGAGTCGAATGTGCTTCAGGTATTGGATAGATTTAGAAACCTGTTGGGAGGACCCAGGGTACAACTGCATAAAGGGGAACCGGGTGAATTAAAAAAAAACTGGATAAGAGAAGAAACAGCTCATCTACAAGCTGTCAGAGTTAGAGACGGCACTTCTGACATGATGCGGCTGAAGGGCCAATTTTCGAGTTCATAGGGAGCACCTAGCGAGGAACTCTGGATTAGCGTGGGTTGAATTGGAGAATCTGTTCTTAAAGGAATATACGGATGAGGGAACGGCAATTGAGGCCATGTGGAGCCTCATGAAGCTCATCCAGACAAAGGATGAGACGACAACGGAATTGGGAGCAAGGGCTACAAAATTGTCGACCATAGCCTTTCCTGAAGAAGTAAGAGAAAATGTTGCCATTCAAGTCCAGTTGGCGGATTTGTTCGTGGATGCGCTGGGAAATTAACGCATCAGACACGACATGATAAAGGGATCCCCAATTAGGTTGTCAGTGGCTATAAATCTGGCCAAAGACAGTGAAAAAGTATGGGCGAAGAAGAGGAATAGTGGTACGCCGGTTCAAGATCGGGAGGAAACAGGTGGCAGGAAGCAATAGGGGAAAAACCCACGTGGAATAAGAAAGTAGGTCGGGAAAAGGACGAGTCGGAAGAGTGGGTAGAAGTATCCAGTAGGAGGACATGGTCATAAGGACATGGTTTCTATAAACCCACACCTGGAAGACATGGATTAGACTGTTGGAATGGAACCATGAAGGTCATAGAGCAGTAGATTGTCCGACAAAGTGGGGACTACCCCTGGGCTTTGATGAGCCAAAATGCACTAGGTGTGGCCAAAATGGACATCAGATCAAGTGGCGTGGATTCAAGAAAAAGAGATCCCCAGGGCCTTCCGTCACCAGACCTGCACATGGAAGACAGAACCAGGGAAACGCCAATGGGCCGCTTCAAAACAAAAAGTAAGAGAGCGAGTGGACCTGTAAAATGAAAGAAAGTAACCTACCTCGACCTGACACTGCCGTCCTAGGAGGTAGCTTTATGTCAGAGAACGATGGTATGAATGGAAGAGAGTTTGGTGCGCATCAGAAAAAAACCATCCAGTAATTAACAATGGGAGTTGGTTGGAGAGGACGGAGGTGGGGATAGCGCTTCGTTAGGGGCGGACAAATTTACTTACTGGTCATGTTGTTGATCTGCCAACACACCTATTTGGGACCAATCAAATCAGCTGAAAGACTGATCAGCAAACCAAAATTGATGAATTAAAAGGGGAAGAAATACCAAAAGGAGAATAATTAAATATGAGAGTGTGTAAACGTTGTATGGTTAGAAAAATAAAACAAGGAAATCTCGTTACACTTGCAGGAATGGCTGGCATGACGAGGCTGATACAATTGGTAAAATGGTAGCGACAGGAGCTTGGAAGTACAACCGAAATACGATTTTCAGAAAAAAAAACGAGTGATGTGACAGTAACGCAATTAAAATGATTAGCAACTTTCTTCATAGATTTGAAACCCTATAAATTGCTGTTAAATAAATTGAGAAGTGAACCACTTAAGCTGAGGCCAGCCAAATTGAAGGCAGCGGAGAATTATATCGAAGAGGGACAATACCTTAGATTACTGTACTCCTTGGAGCTAGAGATTTTCATAATGGAGTCCTGATGGAAGGATATGGAAATTATTTGAAGGGGGTCAAACTGTTACAGATAAGAGGATAAAAGAACAGTAATCCTCATTGTTGGAAAAATGTTAAATGTTCTGTTCGGAACAGTAACTGAAGCAGAAATTGAAATCATAAGGAGAAAGCTGAAAGGAGTAGAAAAAGATCAAAGAATGTTAGCCCAGGTGGTAAAAGGAAGTATATCAATACTGAATGTAATGAGGATTAGAATTGGTGGAGAACAGAATAAGTATAAATGGGTTAATGAGTGATATGTAAAATTGTCGAGTGGAAGTTTTAGCAAATAAAGTATTACCACAAGACATCGGTATATCTGATGGGGTATGGGCAGTAGCTACCTAGAGTCACATGGATTAATCTAGAGTACGTGGGCGGGGATCCACTGGAGCAATAAGAATAGAGTCACCCGTGGCTTTGATAGAGTTACCCCTGGGATGTTCGGCATTTGGAGTATCAATCTCATTTCCCCCATACTATCAGCGCAGAGAGAAATGTGAGGAGAAAGATTCATTGATAAAGTTAATCGAAATAAGTTTGAATAATTGGATAGCGGTATGGAAACTAGTGGTAGAGGAATTCTCCGTAGCTACATTAAAGGCAATACCAATTTTATTAAAACAGGTAGAGAAAATACTCTTGAATAATTCAGGGATCATAGTGACGTAGTCCGCTGTGTTAGGTATCTTAGTAATTAATGCTGTCATAACGAAAGCAATATGGAAGCTGAGAAAGCATAGGAAGAAATCAACTGATTAGGTATTGCCGAGAAAAAGAGACCGAATTAAATGCATGAGAACCGAAAGCAGAGTCGACACATCTGTAAAAGGGAAACCAACATCCCCTACCGTGGAGAGAAGTCGACCAAAAAAAAAAAAAAACCTTAAAAATCAGTCAAGTTATCCAATTGTAATGGGTGATACGAACCTTATTGTAATGAGCATGCTCATGAATCGTGAAAGAAAATGAAAAGACTTTTTAAATTCCACTACATGCTTAGAACCTTGTTGTTTCCACTTGTGTGTGTGTGTGTGTGTGTGTGTGTGTGTGTGTGTGTGTGTGTGTGTGTGTGTGTGTGTTAACTTGTAAATGACAGAAATTGAAAAGGGGGAATTGGAACACTATAAAGGATCACAGGGTGTAGCTGAAAGGAACATGACACTATCATGTTATATAATAAATGTTTGTAACTTTCAAAACTTGACTAATGGGCCTTTTATAATTAAAAAAAATAATTATCCTATCACCTATCCACACTAGTGACCTTCTGACGTGAACACACTTTTCACAATATCATTCAATAAGCAAAATTCAACAATTCTATAAGCAACGTCTACACATTTTCTAAAGGACAATTATCTATGATTTATATGGTATATGAATAAAAGAGAGCAGATTTGATCATTGTTTTTGTCGTTTTATTTTCTCGTTTGTAAAAATATTGAATAAATTTCAAGTAAAGATTTTTAGAAACAATCTTTATAAAGATTTTTTTTAATGTTAAAATATAAACTACATCTCGACTACAGGTCAACACATTTCTTATTAATGGTCCATATTTTTGTGATTTATAATAGTCTAGAACCAAAACGACGCTGATTCTGCAAATGAAAGACAGATTTGATATTTAATATATAAACTAAAAACAAAATCGTGAATGTCTACATATCATCGTTGCGGTATTTATACCAGAAGTTTAAAGTATCATAAAGTATCAGTAGAAAAATGTTACGGGGAAATCGTTAACAGACTACATAGAAACGGTATGACTTTAACAGAACTCATTTAGGATTTTAAGAGAACAAAATGATATTTCTTTCTGAAGGATGCAGAAAATTTGTATATTTAAACTTTAAAATATTTTACATTAAAGAATCTAAATATGAATATATTCATGTGATAGGATCTATTTTAACACGGGAGAAAAAGAAAAGCTACAAAAAAACCACTTGAAACGGGAAAGAAAATCTTATTAAAAAACGTTAAACAAAATTGTGCTCGTTAAAATTAACTACATACGACAAGTTAGCAATAAATAGCATCACTTACAACCTGATGTGGCTATGGAAAACCTGTCAAACGGTGGGAAAATAAATTTGCTAAATGACCAACAGATCAAAGAAAACATCTTTTTCTCGCGCCAGTTTTGTTACTTTTAAAGTGACAAACATCTGCGCCAATTTTACAACCAACTGGCCGTTCGTGTAGCGTGCACAGCAAATGTTCATTCACTCTAGAGTACAAGAAAGAAAAAAACACTCTTTAAATCTTTCAAGCGATTACCTTTTTTTTTTTTTTTTTTACTCCAGGCCGACTAGCCACCCAATCATTATTATTTATTTGTTACTCTTTTCGCACACTGCGGTTGGACTGGAAGTATAGGAGTGAGATCGAGTAAATCTGTACTTTAAAAACTAGAGAACGCCTGAATAGAAAGAAATGGTTATATTCATTTGAAAAAATAAATGAGTGTTAATACTGCAGTTTATTGTATTCAGTTAAGAAAGATCACATTCAACGGGAAATCACAAAAGGTAGATGAAAACAAATATAGGTTTGGCTAAATATCTTTTATCAAGTCAAAATGCAAACATTCGTGCGACAACTTTTTAGAAGACTTGACTTAGTCATCACAACTTTCATCAGTGATGGCGCTAACATTTATACAAAATGTAACATTTATATAAAATGGCTAATATTTTTAGAAAATATTATATGAATATGAGGATTTGAACCTGAGAACGGCACCATCAAAAATTACACGATGGCTCAAAATCCTTCATAGTCTGGTCTCAGATGGATGATATGCAAACGTAACGGGAAGATCAATACAGTTTAAACAACCGAATATTGATCATTCTTATTTAGTGACTCATACAATGAAGCCATTCGTACAAAAGAAACTTCCATTAGGCAAGCACATTAACTATAGAGGGTCACACCTAAATTGGCCCAGCTACATAGAATCACCCAATAAAATAACTGCCTACAAGCGCATATAGATTGTGGTTCGGCCCCAAATAGGAAACCCTATGAGAGCTATCAATCTTAAAATAACAAGAAATCTCATCAAGATGACCCAAAAGATTAGCCTTCAGTATCATCTAAGGTTAGCCTTTCATAGGAAAAGTACATTTTTTAGAAAAAGAGGTTCTTCAGAGAAGAGAAAATTATGATCAAATAGTGTGCGTTTACAACATCCCATTCAGCTATGATCGAGGAAGAAACTAAAGCTAAAATAATTAAACTGGAGTAACACTGAGAAGAGAAACCTCTGAAGGGAAATATAAATCAGACTTATCAGAATATTTATAGAATGAAAGGTTGATACATTATCCTCCTTGATATAAAAGACACATAAAAATTGAAAGTTCTTAAAAATTGAACGCATGAGCAGTCAAATATTGATTTTAGCATCGTGGAGGAAACATTAATCAGAAATTGGTTTTAGCAGTTAATGTCTCCACATACCAAGAGTCAACATAACCGTTTATAGATCACCAGGTATGATACTGTAAATGCTAATGATTCCTTCAATTATAGTCAATAAAAGGACAAATTCCAATCTCGCTAGTTCTTATATCTATTAATAGAAATATCTTGTACTTGGTCTTGATTCTATAGGACTATGCGCCCTAGTTGAGGAAATAAAAACAAGAAAAAAGTATTAAATGAACGCTAAAGAACAAATGAAAAATACACTTGTTTAAGGTCGAAGAATTTTGTACCAGTAGAAATGTTACAAAAAGTTAAAAAAATAATTTGAAATAAAAAGAAATAATAACGATACGTTGTCTCTGAATTTCAAAAAGCAGCCAAAACTATTATAAATATGAAAGATTTGTATAAAAAGAGCAAATAGATAAATTGTGATATGTTCTTATACAATTCTACGAGTAAATAAAGAGAAAGGTAGGGCAAGACAATAAAGGAAAGGAAACGAAAGACGTACAGAGTAGTTGATTACAATTTGAATGGAAACCAAATTGTTATCTGGATGATATCTTTATAAATATTAGTAGCCTCCTTCATTGACATTTCTTAACAAAAATGGGAAAGTATTTTGATCAGACCAAAATTCCAAATATATTTAAATTGACTGAATGTGAGGCAAGAAATCAGCAAAAAATTAAATTATTTTTTAAAATCATTTCACCCCACGCAAGGCGTTAAAGCCACTAAGACACAGGGGGGTTACTGGGAGTGGAAGAGAACGAAAAGACTTTAAAGATGAGAAAGGACAATAAAATGCAATATTTCAGCAATAAAACGATGGGACATAGTAGCCAATCTAGTAGTACGCTTAAATTCATGCTGTAATACGAAGGAGATGAGTTGATTAAAGCAAGAACCTTGTGAGCCGGTGGGAAAGTGACTGAAGTTGAGATGCAAGGTCAGGATCTATAACATTACAGACATTTCTTTGTCGAGAATCTCGAGATATATAACCGGAACACAGACCAGATATGGCAACAATATTCATTGCATGGACGAATGTTTGATTTATAAATGTGCAACATGGATTTGGACAAGAAAGATTGTCTGGTACGACACAGTGAACCAATCTTTTTAGCAGCAGACCTAGCAATTGATTCAATATAATCTTCCACTTCATGTCAGTGAAAAAATGGAGACCAAAAAGTCGCACTAAATTGCTCTCGTGGAGATTAGCATTAGCCATACTGATGCAGGGCAAAATGGTTCTCTATGATAATTAATAAATGACTGTTTCATTTTGGAAGCGTTAAAGTTTAGAAGTCATTTCTTATCCCAGTTAACAACTGATTGGAGGTCGTTTCTGAGATCAGTTGCCAATTTTACTTTGTCGGGGCTGTTGGACTTACTTACCCTTAAGAAAAGAGTAAGTAGCTGTGTCATCAATATGAATACCGTGTAATGACATCGGGAAGGTCATTGATGAAGATAAGAAACAACAAAGTCCACAGATAGAGCTTTCCCCTCCCTACACCCCCACCCCCGCGCATTAATGTGAAATGATCTAGAAGCGTGACTGTTCAACTCGACCTTCAATATCCAATTTGTTAAGAACGATTGGATTACGTCAAATATCCGCCCAGGGACACCATAGCCATTGAACATGTGGGGAAGGTCAGTTTTCTGTCAAACGCTTTTAAGATATCTAAAACCACAACCCTAGCCTCGTCGTTCTTATCTAAAGCCTGATAGACAAAATCAGTAATAACAGTTAACACATCGGCAGTTGATCTAGACAAACGAAAGCCATATTGTTTATCTAAAAAAAAAACCTTGTGAAGTGAAATGCTTAACCAATTCAGAGTTGATTAAAGCCTCTAGTATTTTGCCAAAAAGAGGTAAAATACTAGTGGGACGATAATTTGAATGATCCAAAGGTTCGCCAGAGTTCTTAAAGACAGAAACTACCGAAGAGGATTTTCTAAGCTAGAAAGCAAGAAGCAGCAAGGCACCTATTGCAGAGTTCGGAGTTCAAGAGCACATTCCCTTGGAACAGTTACAGGGGATACTGTCGAGTTTGCAAGCTTTTGAAGAAGCTACTTAAAATGATAGCAAAAATTATGGACAGGGTTATGTTCATATCACTGAGCAGAGACTCCGTTCTAGGAGGAAAATCAGACAAAGATTAGAAGACAAATGAACCAAAAGGCCTCTATTAATGAAACGCATTATTTAACATGATATGAAATTCAGTAAAATCAATCAAAACAATGACATTTAGATATTTCTACAATCAATTTGAGAAATCATTTAAAATAATAACTTGAATCTGTTTAAATTTTTGATAGCACCTCCTTACTTTTAAGCTTTGTGTGGCACAAGGCTACAGTCAAACACGCCATCAGTTGCCCGAGGACATACGCTTATTAAATAAAATTACTTTAGTCTAACAATATAGGGAGAAAGGAAGTTAGGAATATCAGGTTGCATTATTCTTCCCAGTGACAACGGTAGACTTGTCTATAGCGAAAATCAACATTTGAAATCCTGAGGTTTATCTTTTATGACAACCCGAATACCAATTGCTAGAACCGATGAAAAATGTTCAACAATTTATATCATCAAGCGCATATTCCTGTAGTACTACTAAGTCTACTAGACGGTTATTGACAGAAAGAAAAAGAACTGCCAGAAGTCACGTTTCAAAAAGATTCACATACCTTAATTACATACTGAGTTGAAATGACTTATATTTTTTCTGGCTTGAAATAAAATGTTAATGGCTAAATAAAAGTGGATATATTTAATTTATTGCTCAAGGCTGATATACCCTGAATCACCTCCGGCTATATTCCACGAGAAATAATAATAGAATTATTTTCAGATAGCTGTTTTTACCACTGAAGTTTTTGACAGTTCAAGGCAATTGTAATTAATTGGCCGTAAATCTCTCAAATCCATTTTCTCATCAATTTTACTTTCAATAAAAAGTAAATCACTTTCTGATTTTATCTTAAGAGCATTCTTTATTCTGTGGGCGGCCAACCTAACTGTTTCTTGTCATCGTAGAACCGAAAACCGTAAACGACATGTTCGATTTACTCAAATACCGACAACGCCAAGTAAACAGCTTTGAGAATGGGTAATGTAGAATAATTCACTCTACAAAAAGAACATTAATTATCTTAGTGAATAACTGCGTAAATATCACTCTACTGGTGTATTGACTCAATTATATTTATAACTAGCAAACTTCGCTCGCTCGCTATCGCTTCACAAAGTAACATACTTGAAATCTTTGAAACAAAAATTTTAAATGAACATTTCATTCATAAATTGGCTTGTTATAGTTAAGAAAAGTTTTACAAATAGATGCCAACTTGTTGAATGCCAAGTAAAATGCAAATTTCAAACACTTTTCTGCACTATATAAGACGATATTCCTAAACAGAACTAATTTTGATATCAAAATCAAAACAATCCTCGAATAAAAGAACAGTAATGAAGGCTAATTAATTAATGAAATAAACTTTTTTAAAGCAATATGCAAATTAGTTAAAGCTGAAGAGTGATATTGCGTAGAAGTAAATAATATATAATACAGATATTGAGCCTTTAGCGCGTAAATTGCTATAAAGTAGAGCTGTGCTTTTTTTTTTAATCTCAGAATTCGTGGGAGAATTGAGTTCCAATTTCTCATTTATTCATATAGATTCTATAATGCAGGTTTTACTTAATTAGCCATTATGTTTTTTTTAACTCTTCAAACGTTCAATGTATAACTAATTCTAATTTCTATTTTCCCATCTTTACACTATATTAATTTTATCTTATAAATTGTCCCCATGAAATAAAAATAATTGTTTATACGGAAAATAAGGATCTACGTACGTAAAATCTTCTTTAAATTAAGTGGTAACAGAAGAATGTTTAAAAGTTTAAAATGTTTAATACTTAAATGCAGCGATCAATTTTGAGTTCTGTAGTTTTTTGATGCCTATCGCATCTACTCCTCTCTAGCTATTGTGATGATGACCAAACCAAGAGTCCTCTACAAGAAATAACTTAAATGCCGACCGACACACATACACTGTACTTTATATAAAAGATGAATGACTATGAAGTAAGATGCGAGATATTTTTCTGATTTTGAGTGTTTAATGAAATAAGTCACTTTGTCAATTATTTTTATGCTCATATTACAAATAGAAACGTTGACTTTCATCTGTCATGACTGTCATTGGATATAAAAATCATTTCCTGTAAAAGTAATGAGAGAGACAGACAAAGACAGAGAGATTTGAGGGATTGACTGGGGACTCTTCTTTGTGTTTTTTCACCTTCTCGGCATGTCAGCGACATGACAAACCCATAGGCAAAAGGAATGGATGGACGGGCTCAATAAATACTTTGGCAGTGGATGCAGCTAGAAAATGAACAGATACATTTTTAAAAGAATACAAAAAGAATAAATGTGAGAGGGGAGGATATTCAACAACAAAGGAATTTTAAGAACTTTTTTAGAGCAACATTTCATATTAATTAATTTCTTAGCAACAAAAGAAATGTATTTACTTCGAAAAGTTCATAAATTCAAAATGTCGGAGGTCCAATAGTTGAAAAGCAAACGGGAAGAGAAGAGGCTGATATACCTCGGATGAAGCTGGTTCTCTGGGTTCTTTAGATAAAATATTCTGATGTTTGGAACAGACGTTGTTAACTATGATAAACCCTCAAGTTTAGAAAAGATATTCGAATGAGATGAACTCTTGTTTAGAAAAGACGTTCGTATATCAAATTTAGAAGATTCTTCTTCTACTTCAACAACAAAAACAGTAGTAGTAGCAGTAGTAGTAGTAGTAGTAGTAGCAGCAGTCTTTTATTATCCCTGGTCACGGTTTTTCTCGCTCTGGTGGTGAAACTTTTCTACAGCAGTGGTAGGATTTTACACGCCTAGGGCTTTCAGTCGTTTCTCACTGATAACAGCCTTTAGCTAGAGTGTAGTCTATTCCTTTCTGACTTTGTAGCAAACATTTCTACTCTTATATAAAAAAAACAAGTGACTTCAACCGACTCAAAACCCAAATCCTTAGGAAGCATATACTTTTTATCCCAATGGGTTAAAATCTCGAGATATACTATCCAATCAAACCGCTCTCGTTTACAATTTAAAGCCGAGCACAAAAAAGACAATTTATCAACAATATTGTCGTCAAATGCCATCTGGGAAATGTTTTTTGCCAGCAAAGGAAATACTTTTGGTGTCCTTACAAAGGGAAAAATGTTTTCAGTATTTTAACATTTATTCTTGTCTGTGCTTCAAACCCAACTCTTCAGAATAATAAATACATCTGTGGTGATAGAAAAATAAATAAAAATAATTAACAAGAAAACCAAAATTTTAGCATTCCTAAAAATAGTCGGATAATAAAAATCTCCAGGCAAACAAAGCCATAGTTTGACCACAATATTTGATAGATTCATAACGGGATGTAAAAAAAGAAATAAACAAATAATAACAAGGAGACCAAAATGTCCCCATTTCTAAAAATAGATAGTTCGACCAACCAGTCAGAAAGCTTTCACAACTAGGATATAAGGCTGCGATTCAATGAGAAGCGAGAAGCCTTTTCAAAGCAGATCTCCAGATGTGTATATAAACATATGGAAAATCAACCAAAATCAGAATTGACCCGGAAGGACCCACGTTAAACTAGTCTTGTAGACACCTGCCCGACCCGTTTATATGGGGTCTCTGGAGAATTTTTGCCCGAGTCTACGGAATGCCCCACATTAAATAACCGACCTTGTGTCACATCCCGTCTTGTGTGGAGGACTTGAGCAAATATCGAGTTGATCAATTAATTTTTTTCTATTCTCTGATGCCCTGGTCATCGTCACATACCCGGAGACGAAATACGACATTTTCACGATTAGCTAACTTACCTGCCCTTGCTATATTGAAAACAAACATACTTTCCTTCACCACGTGGTTAAGCGGCGGCTATTACATTTGGATACATACATATTCATACAAATGCTTCCTATCGGACTCTCTCTCTCTCTCTCTCTCTATCTATCTATCTATCTATCTCTCTCTCTCTCTCTCTCTCTCTATCTCTCTCTCTAACTTTCTTACTTTCTCTTTCTCTACATCTCCCTCTCTCTCTCGCATACATCAAAACTTTTACACGTAAACTCTTGAAACTTCAAATTTCACCTTATCCTTATGTATTATTATATTATGCATTTTGTATTATCTGTGTATTTTCTATTTATAATTACACAAGTCCAATATGCACCCAAATCAATTCTACCTTATATAGACAGATAACGGACCTTGTCAGAAGATAACCTAATAAATCCCATAGGTGATAACCTGCTATCCCCTAGACTTTCACGATCCACCAAAACAGGCGCAAATTAATACGGAATATAACAAGCCCAATTAAAATTTTATCATCACTCGAAATCTGTCTTTAAAAATAAAAAGTCAATTCATTTGTCAGAACAGTTGAAAAGAAACATTGACCAAGTAATCCAAATTCTTCCCTTCTCCATGAAAACAATGTTTTTTGTTAAGTATTCACCAAAATGGACGACATCTTTATTCTAACCTGTAGTATGTGTTAAGTGTGCGTGTTAAGGAAGTTTATCTTGCTTGAAATAAAAATTTACATATTTTCTTTCACTCCTATAATATTGTCTGTAATTATCTCCCTTTCGATATTGGAGAAATATTCAATTTGTTACAACACAAGGATGAGCCATTAAAACAAAAGCATCAACATTTAAATATCTTGAATAGCTTTTAGAAAGAGAAAATAACATTCTCACGAAAATTTCTAGAAAATCTTTCTTTCTGATTTCTTCTTTTTCACAAGCTGTTATAAAATAAAAGCAATCCAACAAGAACTTTTCGCTGTTTGTAGCGATCAATGGCTTCACGCTCTGTCGGCGTCATTGTAGGTTTAACCTAAATTTTAGCCGCCAAGTTCAAAATAGATCCATTTACCTTTATGTATCTATTCTAAAATCGCAGGTTGAACTTGCGTTCATGGTCTGTACCGAAAACTGAATATAAGGTTTTGCCTGGATTTAAATGCCTATCGGTAGTATTGCAGTTCACTACGGCACCAGTTGTCTTAAGACAGACAGTTATTCACTAATATTTGTTTGGTACAAAGTTAAATAAAGGGAAAGAAGATTGTGCTGCACTGTTATTCCAAATGAGGGAAGAATGACTGCCTTGAAAATCAGTATTCGGTATGCTGGCCTTTTACCTGATCTCGATCACCATCTACTGGTACAAGTGGAAAATATGCAAATGTTTGTGAATTTATTCATAGTGTGGCGGACTTCACCACATTTATTCAACTTAGATCAGGAAACCAAACTGACGTGAAGAAAAAGAGGAGAAGCCAAAGGCATCATTACACATAAAATTTGTATTTAACAAGATGTACAAACAACGATGTGAAAGTAAAGCATGCATTGAGTAAAACAAAAGTTGTCTCTCTTTAACTATCAATTGTTCCAAAGTTAACTGAAAGCAATAAGGTTGTAATAGTTTCTGGTAATAAATGTTTTCAACAGTTTTGCTGTGTAAGAAAAAAATGTTATGTGAGTATAGGGAATATTCAGCATGTGAGTAGAGGTGTGAGTGAGAAGATTGGCGCATGGTTTCAACTGTCGTGGATTTCTGTAGCATCTGAGATCTCACTGGTTTACTAATAATTTTCTTTGCTTATATAGATGATCATCGGCTCCGAAAGCTCTGCGCGGGAAGAATCACTCTTCACGTGCAGACAATCTGATTGGTTGTCGTTGACCAATCAGTGAGCGAGCATTGGGGAGACTCACGAAAAGTTTCTGGATCCGATTCTCCCAAAAGTGCACGAAATCGATTACATGAAAATATAACGATTATAAAATTGTCGCATTACACAGTAGTGTTGATTTATAATCCAATGAATGCTTGTTGTTGTATAATTTGAATTTGTGTAAGTATGTATGTATGTGTGTGATGATGATGATCGTCACAATAGAACGCCATTACTGAAAGTCGTTTAGTAATTGAACCAATCAGATAGGAGGATTAAATCGCAGAGAAATCAACAACTTTCTTGTTGATTGTGCTTTAATTAAAAAAAAAGAGGGAAAATATTTTTCTGAAAAATAATTTAACGTTGTTTATTATTATTATTATTATTATTATTATTATTATTATTGCTGTTATTATTTCCTTTGATTTCTGTTGTATACGCGTTTCCTTCCGGGTCCCAACCAGAGACCTAAGGTTATAAATGGTTTCATGACATTTTCCACTAAACATTTTTTTGTAAAATAAATAAATACATAAGTAAAAATAAAATAAACAACCTAAGATCAATGGGTAAATTGTCGCCATCTTATATTTTCAATTTCGCGCATGCGTGTTATTTGTTTTTGATATTTTCGACTGCACATTATAGTAGGTTTAATTGGACACAGTCTGTGAGAAAAAAGAGAACCATGACATAATACGCTTAATATTCTATATGAACATTTCAGAGTGTTTGGGTGTCAGTCTGAGGACAGTGCAGAGGATTCGGAAAGAGTTAGATGAATCTAATGGTGATTATGAATGTATGGCATCTCAGAAAACTCACTTTGATTGTTCTGATAAGAAAAGAACTCGCGAGTCTGTTGGTGAGGACCTCAGACTCTACAAGGAGGCGTACATCAAATGCCTTGAGGAAGTAGTGCTGCCCTGGGTCAAGAGGGTGGCTGCTGGAAGACCCTATGTCTGGCAACAGGACTCTGCACCATGCCATACAAGCAGGCGATTTCTGCGACCACATCACCCCTTATATCTGGCCACCTAACCCCCAGATTGCAACCCCTTGTTTATTACATGTGGGGCACAGTTGAACGAGAGACCAAAAAACTCCTTGCAACACCAACGATGAACTGAAGGCAAGGATTATGGTAACGTTCACCAACTTAAAGAAGAAGAGTTGCAGGAGATTCCGAAGTCGTCTGGAGGCTGTGTTTGAAACCAATGGAGTTTTTATTGAATAAATTTACTTTTTAGTATTTCAAGATATTTTTGTGTAATTTTGGTAAATATATCTGATAAAATGTGATATCAGTGTTATTTTCATTTTTGCGTAATTTAGACGACAATCTATCCATCGCACCTGTATATATAATGCCCTTCATAAGATGTAGCATGTACTTGTGATAACATTTTTTTCTTTTATTCTTTAAGGCATCGGCTACCAGGGATCTCTTTAGTGAGTCTATTGGAACCTTAACCAATCAAGCCGAGATCTCTAACCGCAACTGGAATTTTTGATGTTCCACATTTTTTAGATTTCCACTTCACGATACTTGTATTTTGATAGTTTTATGAAGATATTCAAATATACATTACGTTCTTGTGGGCCCAAAAAAATCACTTTTATAAATGATTAAGAAATTCTGGATAATCTCTGCAGAGACGAAGAAGAGACTTGAAGCAACAGAAATGTGTTTCTACAGAAAGATACTGAGGATATCATGGACCGAACATGTGAGCAGCGACGAGGTTTTGGAGAAAATGAAACAAAAAGCAAACTTATATTTGACATCAGGAAGGGGCAGTTGAAGTTTCTGGGGCATGTAAGGAGGGCTTGGAAAATCTGATACTCACAAGACAGATTGAGGGAAAGAGGGACAGAGGAAAGCAGCGCGTGATTTATTTGATGAGCTTGAGTAAATGGATGGTTGAACAGGGTTTGGGAGAAATAACAAAAAGATAAAATTTATTAAGAGCTACAAGGGGCAGGAAGATGTAGAGGACCATGATCGCCTACGTCCTGAAGGGACACGGCACATAAAAGAAGATGTAATAAGTAAACGAGTTTTATTTGAATCTTTTTTGTAATCAAAATGATAAGATTCAGAATAAAATAAAAATGGAAACATTACAAAGAAAGAATGTCTTTCTTACGCAGATAAATCAGAATGCTGAGTGAGAACGTCGAACATTTGCAAATTTTCTCACAAAATAAGCAATTGATTAACTCCAGATGAGAAAAACAGGCTCTTCATCTCAATATTTCAAGCTGCTACAGACATGGTAAAATATTGTGGCATACTTGATATTAGCCGCGGGCCGAAGTTTTCGGGAACCCTGGACAACAAGACTAGAGAGTATAAGAGACTTACTGTCACTTATTCTCCAGTGAAAGCTCCCAGTTATTTCTAATGTTAACATTCAATACATACAAATATAAATTCTAGTTAAATCTTTGCTATTATATTGAAGGGTCATTTGTAAATCATTTATAAATAATACGAAGCAAATCTTTTATTTAAGAATCAGTATCACGTGACCGTAACGGACATAATTCTTTTCAATGTTTTTCTTTTTGCTCACTTGTTATCTTTTATTTATTACATTCTTTTTGTCTGTTTTACAAGACACTGACAAAAAGTGGACGTGGTATAAATTTTTGTAGTTTTTTTCTACCAACTCGAAAAGAAGGAAGTAACAGCATGCTCGCACTTATAGATAACTTACTCTTCCTTCGAGTGCAAGGAAGCGTAGAGAGCAGTCGTCTTATTTTTCCTTTGCTCGGGTTTCACCTGACCAGACGATTTACGGTTTGTTACACTTGACTGAAATGCTTTCAACTGTCAAATGCTTCTTTAATAATATGATATACATATTTCATATCTACACATTCATAAGGCTAAAACATATCTGGGAAAGGTCCAAGGGTGGAGAAATAGAGTAAAACGATCTGTCTTGAAAATCTACATTCGAAATTTTACCTCGATTCAAATAACGACCATTGGGACCAGTAGAAAACACACAACTAACTCAGTCACCAAGAAAAACCTTTAAAATAATAATTTTTAAATGTTTTTTTAAATGTTTGAAAGATTGTGACTAATTGCCTGAAGCTAAACGAACACGATGCACGATGCTTCGTGTGTTTTGCGTATAGACGTCCATTTGCATTGCGGGAATGTCTTTTTATAATACCTTCGGCTAATGAATATTCATGTGTCCAACATATATTTAAGGATTCGTTTGAAGAGGCACACAGTTTGCGGTCAGCAGCCTGTCTGCTGCCGTGACTCTACCTTTCTGTTGTGTTTCTGTCATCGGACAGTTCAAAGTAAAGTTGTGTTGGAGTGAATTAGTTTTCTTTCGTAGACAGCAAACTGGTTTTGAACTTTCTCTCTCTCACACACAGACACAGACACACACAAACTCTCTCTCTCTCTCTCTCTCTCTCTCTCTCTCTCTCTCTCTCTCTCTCTCTCTCTCTCTGTTTAGGTCACAGTATCAATCTGCTCGCAGGAACAAATATATTTATCCATTTAGTTTCTTTCTCATATTTTATTGAAAAAAATGTTTTACTCTAATAATCTGACTTGACTCCGATCCTTTCTTCTTTTACTTGCTTTATTTCACCCAATTCAAGGCCTAAGGGTCACTCAAGTTAGGGGGTTAAGAAGGAAAGCATATTATAACGTTATGTAGTGTATATATCGGTTAATCAAAGACTTCTCTTGATGTTAAGATGTTAAGATTGTACTGGTCGGAGAAGCATTCTCTTGGGAGTAAGTAACAGTTCTGGGGAAGACGCTGTCTGAGTGGAACGTACTCCATACCAAAGGAATACGAAGGAAATGAGGGTGATTTGATACCGTTTATACAGTAAGCAGTTTTCATCTGTGATAATCTGAACAGTTGGAATGTAGCTAAGAAATGTAGCTTGTCTAAACATTTGCCATAGTAATAGCGATAGAGTAGTGCGAGGCTAGCAACGTTTCATCTGTGGGATATGAATTGAAGAGTTGAAAATAAATCATCACCCACAAGGCTTTGAAATCTGTTATGGAGGGTCAGTGATAATTGAGCAGCATCAGATCAGATATGAAACAATATTCTATTCTTGGTCTGACCTGACACTTGTAAAGAGTATTCAGAGTATAACCATCTATCAGGACTGGAGCAGTTTTAGTGTCTTCTTATTTAAGATCAAAGGTTACTACCTTTGTTTTGAAGCTATTGAATGGTACAAGCCAGTCTTTCCATCATGAGCTGTGAGTCATAGGTCAGAGGAGAGATCAGCCCTCAACCTCTGGTCATCCAGTTATTTGGAGGTACACACATACACCGTGGTATCATCTGCATTTATATTTCTAGAGAGTTGAGAATGTCCTTAGGCATATCGTTAATATAAAGCAGAAAGAGGGAATGGCCGAAGCGAGAAACTTGCGGGAACGCCAGCATTAATCTCATGTGCTTCATAGGACTGACCATTAAAAACTACCTTCTCAGTTACCAAATCTTCCATATCCGGACAGATTGTGTTGTAACGCCCTATGCCACACCTTGTCAAAGGTCTTCAAGATATCTGAGGCGATCGCTCTCGAGATATGTTTATTATCAAGCGTTTCACTGATTCTATGCGTAATGATATTTAAGACATTACTGTTGTTTGTTTCTCTTGTAGTGATCAACAATTTTCTTGTTGACGATAGCTTCAAAATGTGTGATGATGATACTAAGGAAGCGATATTGTGAAGGGGAGGATGGCTCACCCGTATTCCTGTAAACAAGGCATACACATGACACCTTCCATATGCTTGGAAACCATCTCTCTTTCAGATAACAGTTAAACAGCTTCGCCAAGACGAGTAATAGTAAGAAAAATGAAGTTTTTACCAGTTTTCTTGTTATATCCTTCTGTGTGTCGTGTTCATTCAGGACGTATGCGATCATGGCTCTCTCCAACTTCCAATTCTTCGTAGCTCTAAGTAATGTTCCTGCTATCAACGATAATAGTTCCAACGTTTTGCATCACCTTCCAAATTTTTAACACTAACACAAATAATAGAAATCTGACGATTCTTATTATTTTGCCGAAGGATAATGGTTAACAGGCTAGCTAGTCTAGTTGGCCATTAAAACTATAGTGAGTTCCATCCTTACTCACCCACACCAACATGTGATTTTGTGCGAAGCCATGTTAAATCCCGATAAAAGTGACGATGTTCCGAGACGATTTACTGCATCTTCCCAGCCTGCAGTAGAAAAGATAAGATTAATCAACAAAATTTAATTTTAATCATAATGCAATGGTGAAAGTAGCCGTTTCCATACTGGAAACATTCAGAATTCATTGATCAAACAGTTATAGTTGTTGTCAGTTGATATTTTTAAAAATCTTTTTCTTAAAAGAGTTTTTTTTTTTAGGAAATTAGGCTTCTCAAGTTCACTGTTATCACTCTTTCTTTTACATAAGCTTCTCATCTTCGCTGTTACTGCTGTTGGAAGTATTCAAGTGATGTGATTTTATTAGTTGGTAAAGCTCTCTGTTTGTGATTGTGTAGCGCCAACTGTAGGATCTGATGAAGGATTGTCTTCTTTAAGACCTAAAGAATTCATTCGCTTGGAGCCATTTTGAATCTTTTTACAATCAAAATGACAATGAATCATTGATCTGAGAACACGGTTGCATATTACTAACAGTTTAGACTTTTCTGAAACAGAGCATACTATGCATGACATCCATATGAGAATCGAGAGCTGATTTCTTTTGCAGATAAACACGTTCGTTTTTGTTAAGCTCTTTGTCGAGAAATTTTATTTTTTAGGTTTTTCTTTTCATAAAACTAATTTAAAGTTTTAATAATTGTTTTCGGGGTTTTTAATTGTAGAAAATTCTCAGTTTCGGGAAATATTTATAGAATGAGCTGCTTATACTGACATTCTTACTTTTAGTTAAATACAACATTCAATTTCATACCATGAACTAAATTTAAATATGTCACAATCAATTTACGAAATTTGTTAAATCAGATTCCTTCTAAGACGCCACTATGAATAACTATAGTCTGCCATCACAGCAATATTCATTTTAGATTTGTCTCTTCGTCTTCTTCTATGTGCCGTGCCCCTACAGGACGTAGTTGATCATGGCGTCCACAGTTTTCTATCCTTTGTAGCTCTTATTAAGGTTTGTCTTTTCATCTCCCACCCAATCCTTGTTCTGCTATCTATTTTTACACAAACTCGTTAGGCAGATTATGAGCTACTTTCCTCTGTCCCTCTTACCTTCAGTTCAATGTTAATTGTATCTACACGTGTCAGTCGGATGTTGTTCTGTTGTTGCTTTATTTATCATATAAGAATCAAATATAGAAAAATGTGAGCCTACACTATGAAACAGGAAAGAGCGGGATGAAACAGTTCGTATTTATCACTGATGTCAGTGACTGATATTCGAATCTACGAAAATGTGAGAATCTTGAATATCCGAAAGCCACCAGGTACGCGCTACTTATAAAGAATGGGGTAACACAACATGATTTGGGCCTGTAATAAAACATAGAAACATCAGTTGCCTCTTAATATTCTCCTTAATCTCTTCCGCGACCCGAAATCTCTTTCCTTTCGAAGGTAATTTTAAATTTAGGTAAAACTCGCAGGGAACTAAATCTGCCAGTTTTATAAATAATAATAATAATAATAATAATAATAACCTGCGCCAAGCGTAAAGAACAGCAGTTGAGATGTTCAGAATACTTTAATAATTTCCAGATGGTCCGTGGAATTCTTATCTATTCTAATTCTTGCAGTGTGAATCACCGATTTTTTTATTGCACTCAACATTTTTTAATGTTCTGTGTGTTGCAGACATGTGAACCGCTTTTAACAGATACCCAGTCAAGTTTAAAACGACGATACCAAAATTTTATCTTCGCTTGGTCTATTGAATCATCCCCGAAATTTTTTTAAAATTCTTTGTATATGTTTAGCAGACGAGTTGTCAAGTATCAAGCAAAAAGTCATGCGTATTCGCTGTGAATGAGACACTTACACGATGCATAAGGACATTCAGAGGTGCTTCAATGCCGATTAAATAACCACATGAGAGAGTATATATCATGCATGCGAAGTACGGTTCCCTCTAAAAGCCACAAAATCAGTTTTCGAAATATTAAAAATGGCTGGACACTCCTTTAATCCTAGTATTTGCTCATCTCTTTATTATTTGATCTTATCGTGACAATTCCTTTTTATTGATCAAAACGAAAGATGTAGTATCACTTTCACAAAAAATGCTCTTCACCCACCCAATTATATACGATTTTAATATATGGCTAAATATATATTCGCCAAACTGATCTAACAAGTAGTACTAAACGACATACAAGCAGGAAACAGACCAAGCGACGCCTCGAAAATTGAAAGGAAGTGACTCATTAAAAATGTGGTGTATTTTAAATAAATCTCCAAGGCTTAGGTTGGACAGTGGTCGAACATAATGAAACGGCAGAAGAGTATGATTTGCAAATGAAAAATAGCAAATTCACAGGTTAACATGCGCAGTAACATTCATAAGCAGGAGAATTAAATATTTATGATGTAGTGAAATTGCAACAAATATTTCCCAGAGAATATTATAATGTTAGTAAAATGTGAAAATATCAAATACAACCAAAGTTGTTCATGCCCACGCCGTATATATCATAAAATATATTTAAATAAAATATAGACTTTCATTGAGAATAAAGAACTTCTTAAAACATTACGAACCAACGTCTGATATATCGTGAGAAATAGATACATGCACATTAAATAAATACACAGCTATATCAGAAGGGTCGCTATTATGAAACGATGATTATAAAATTACTAAATAGTGTAATGAGCTTGATCTTCACTCGGTGCTCTAATATCATGGCCTTTTATCAAACTATTACAAGAAAATTAAACACATATAAGTTGGTTGTGCATCCGTGTATATGTGTGTACGGGCCAAATTATGTAAAAATGACGTCAAGTACAATTTTATCATCCAAATGACCGCTATGTTTCATATATCTTGCCCAACTTAGAGATTCTTACTAGATTATTATTTATTTAGATAACTAATTTTCAAATTCAACAAAAAAAATCAATTTTTAAAATAATTATATTTTATTCTTTTCAATTCTGGTCTTTACTGATCTTTAGAAATAAATCATTGTATTGCTGATGGCCTTTATAATTGAAATGTTTAGTTATTTAAATAAAACCATTTTATTCCTCGAAAGTGGTAAGAACGTTAGCATTTACATCACAGCTTAGAAGTAAAAAAATAAGCAATGCATAATGGAGAATAATTGATATTGACACTTTAATAGGATATATTGAAAGTGTAACAATATAAATTTTATGTGAAATAATTGATCAAAATATTTAAGCATATTAAACTGCTTTATGACAGTTCTCTTATAAAAAAACAACTTGACCTGCGCAACGTCTGGTATCACTGCAAATCATTTTATAAAACGTTCGTTATTAAAATAAGAAAAACATTCATTTGCAATATATATATATATATATATATATATATATATATATATAT